TTCGCTGGCGATCATCAAAATTCTATCATTTGATTGGCTGTTGATCACATGATGTGCCTCCGCTTTAGACGACCCCCGAATATAGTAAATATGTAATTGTTTGTTAGCATAGAATTATCGTGTTAAATTATTATGGCGCAGAATAAGAATTGTTAGTTGACTCGTGTTGAATTATCGTAATGCCGAGTCATTTATATCATATATACTGCTTCGTGTCAAAAATCTTATGTACTGAAATTTATAATAAAAGGGTTATCTTCACTACAAAGTTCTGTTCCGAATTTGTTAGTTTTCAAGAGAACATCTTGTCCTTTTTTTATTTTTATAAAATTACTTACCGTATTATCACTATGTCGTCACCAAATGTTTTATTATCGAAGGCCTCCAAAAGGAACTTACGTAAAAAAGAACTACATATTATAAAAAAGGCCAAAGTCGAAGACCCAGACCATTTGATCGTTGAAGAGGGTCCCAGTTACAATGCTGAAACTAGTCATATCGAAAAAATAAACATATTTTATGATTCTCAGAAAGTAAGCTAATTGACTTTTTATACAAGCATATATTTCGATAAGGTATTCTACCTTTTATAGTTTCTAAGGCGTGATCGTTATTTTTCTATGTGGGGTATATGCAAGGTGAGGAAGGTCCAACAGACTTCCCAGGTTTTAAACCACCAGGCTACACCATATAGAATGATATGAATGTATCCACTTGGACGAATGGATAGAATTAATATATTTTTTTAGAACCATCTATTATTTTTTCACTATAAACTAACTTATTTTTTTATTTTGGTCAAGCATAAAACCCAAGGAATGACACGTCTGTCCACAAAGGAGCAATCTCAAGAATATATCCAATATCTGTGGACATCTGAAGATTTTCTGGCAAGAGATCTTAAATCGACTAACTATTCACAATCTTCCGTATTTATGAATCCAAAATTCACATTTTTTGAGAAGCTTTTAGAAAAGAAATAGCAAAGAGAGGATCAACTTTATATTAATACAAAACCGGTGATAGATAAAATTTTATCACCCCAAAGTGTCCAATCAATCCCATCCTATTCCGAAGTATCTACGGAATTTCTAAACTTACTAGAGTTAGAGATTTTTAATAAATTGTATTCTAATAATATTTTTAACACCAATTTAACGTGTAAACAATAGATGGAATTTGCAAGATGGGCACACTTTACAACCTCTAAAACTTACTACAAACAGTTTAGAGGGCATTGTTGTCGTCTTTGGGCAAAAATATTACATGCACATAATCAGCAGATGGAGGCTCAGACAAAACTCCTAGAGCATTATATTATTTTTAAGGCATTTCAACGAAACTCAAAAGAAAAGCTTAATCTTGCAGACGAAACAACAAAAAAAGTTATGTGTGGCATTAACCTTAGTGGATATAGACATGTCCTCAAGCCTCAATGTTCTAAAAATACATTGGGTGAAACGATAGTAGATTTTTATATTCTTCCAAATCCTGTGGTAGCAGATAATGCCAAAGCAGTAGTAGATCATTATTATCAGCATACTCGCCATAACCCACTACACCAATCTAAAAAATTTGCCAAACAAATGGTGGAGACTTTTGGTGCTTTCACGAGTAGCAATAATGAACCATATACCACGGCAAATATGGCATCCTCACACCACTAAAATCATCGAAAATGTGTTAATGATCTAATCTAAGGCCTCCAACTATTATCCAATGCTATTAATAATTATTTTCAGGTGGCATATCTAACCTTATATGCGAAGATGAAAAGATTAGATCTTGGTCCAAATGTTCCTAAGTCATTCAGGATCTTCCCTACTATAGCAATTAACTTTAACACTATTTGCCAGTTCCATTAGGATCTAAAAGACCACCGCAATTCACTTTGTGTAGTGTGCCCACTTGGAGTATTTGAGGGTGGGCAATTGGTATTTTCTGAACTTAAATTAGCTTTTCATGTTAAACAGGGCCAGATAGTTGCCTTCCGATCCAATATCCTGGTTCATGGAAATCTACCAGTTCTTTCTGGTGTACAACATAGTATCGTTTTTTCGTTCATTCAACAATGATCAAGCAAAATAGAAAATTCGGCTCCTTATTTAGCAATTCAGATTCGGAAGATAATATGGAAATAGGTATTGATGATAATAATAAAAAAGCAAAGACATCAAAAAAGCTTGTAATACGGAATAGGAAGCGTTCTAAATCTTTAAAATCAGGTTCTCAATTACCAAAAATTAAAAATTCAAGACAAAGCTATCTCGGTAAATATAATTGTTATATTAGAAATTATTTATAACTATTTTTTCAAACCCAATATTCATATATATTTTAACTTATTTAAGATCTAGAATCTACGAAAAGAGGCTTACTAGCAAAATACAAGATTAATGCTAGTCACTAAATATATAGATAAAGCTGATAGCATATAATTTAAGTATTTGTAAATAAGTTTTTATTTCACATTGACACTTTACTACCTGTGTCAGAAGTAAATAAATAAAAAATATATATTATCCAATTGTGATCTCAAGAATAGCATTAGGAAAACAGTGGACAACTATCAAAAAAATCGAATACATGACCCAATAATTATATGTAAATAGATTATAAAGATAAATAAATTTATGCTATTATTTAATTGAAGGATATTAAGTCTATCTCCTTTGCATTTTTTCGCACAGAATTGAAATATGCATCAGCAATATAGTTCAAACTAGTCCTGCTAGAAATGGTAAGCATATTTGATTGATCACTCCAAAGATTTTTAATTTTGAGTGTATTTATACTATGTTTACATGAGTATCTCAAGAGACTGCCAATTAATGCAGAAGGCTTTGGCGGTAATGGCAGAGGAGTCAATGAACATGGCTTATTAATCAAACTAGCGTAAAGCTTTTGATTTTCATAGACTTGATTGGCATAATATTTTGGATAACTTGTGTACTTCCATCTTGCATTTTAGTTTTGGAGCATTCATTATCTCAATGATTTTGCATCAAGTTCTCCGATTTAATCTCATAACCTCATTTACGCCATCCGTCCCAATATATCTTTTTCGGCTCTACTTCAGTAATCTTCACCAATTGCTAGCATTTAAAGCATATAGCTATTTGACTTTTATGAACTTTAGGTCTTTGATAGCTGATATGATCTATTTTTGACCTGTGATTTTCGAGGTACGTTCTAATGTTTCTCTGTCCAAATAAACCAAAAAGGCAGTATACATGAAAGATACTAGGCCTTTCTCTAAAACGTAATTCTTGCAAATCATCTTTTATATGAATAGCCCACTGTTGAGGTATTTCATGGGTCTAATAATAGCTAAATCGTCGTATTTTTTTTCTAGTTTGCACATATTTTCAATATGATTATAGTTATAACTATTACCTTTTGCTAAATCCTTTATTACATGACCCAAATCATATCCTGGACGGAGGTTAACAGGTTTGGGTACAGATTTATTATAAACCTCATCAATAATGATTGTAATTAGATTGGTCATATTTATTAACAAATCAGTGTTTTAACGATTTATAGCATTTTTTGTAATTTATAGCGTTTTTAGCAATTCTTAATCAACATATATTAAGGAATATCACGATTCAAATTTGTATCCAAAAACAAAAAAATGTAAATAATTGTTAATATACACTTCATAAATTTTTATTTTTTTCTTGCATATATCAGTTTTTCTCGCAAGCTCAAAAAACAAAATATAGTGATCCAGTTTTTTCTCGCAAGCCTTTACTGAAGTGAAGTAACTTTATTTTCTGACTTTGAGCAAAAATTGTGAAAAGTCAGTGGTAAATATTAATGTATAAATTACATTACTCAATTGTGATTTCAAGAATAGCATTAGGAAAATGGTAGAGTCGTCATTGAAATTATGAATTAGCTAGATCACTTTTTCTTGCACTTCTGCCTTATCTCTATTTCCTTCTGTAGGTTTAATGGAGTGTCGAATCTTAGCCGAATTGCAAAAGGATCATCCTCAGGTCTATCTAAATCAAATACAATAAATTCACCTTTTTGGAGATAACTATTTATAACTATCGATGCATTCTTAACATCATCAGTATATCGACTGGCTATCTTGAACACATCTTGAAAACTGTTTCCAGTATTAAATATCACTAGATACATGAATAATAATGGGGACTTTATGATACTTCTGTGTAATATATATACTTGAAATATTTCTATGACGCCTATAAGTAAAGAAAAGGATGATTTGATTTTGTATATGCTCTGGGGCAACATATAAGTCTTCGAAAATGATGACAGTGCTTCTTTCTGGTAAAAATAATTTCATATTTGGTATCCTTTCGGGAGAGATATAGCTGAATCATATATTCTCATGATATGGGGCACTAGGATCCTTTGCAATTATTCCATACATATATTTGACAAATGCCTACTTAGGCTCATCCGGATGATAACCGCAAACTATCAAATCATCACATCTTATATATCAGGATCCTTCTTTTTGTCTTTTATATATATGCTTACTTTTATCACCGAGAACAAGATTTGCAAGTAAATTAGTCTTACCTGTTCTACTTCTTTCACTGACTAATATAGTGAAAGGCCAGTCAGACAATGCTTCATGCCCTTTCACTCAGGATGATTCGTGCTTTGTGGCCTCATCTATATCCATAAGGTAAAGTTTCATAGGGGGAGGTGGCTCCCTTGAGACCTCTTGGATAGTCCTGTTTTTTTGGTTTTTCTGCATGACAGATTGGAAATTTGTATCTTTGATTTTTATTAAAAAGTGTTATATAATTTTGAAAAAAGTTTTCTTCATTATGGGTCGATATAAAAGAATATAGACGAGATAAAATAGACTATAAGAAGTATATAATTAGTAAAAGTATTATAAGAAAGATCGCAAGCTAAAAAAAAGAAGAACCAAATTTCTTATCACTAATAGGTGCTACTGAGAAGCGGTCTCTATAGAGACCCCAGGTGGTTTCAGGGCTAGCATTATCATTACCTTTCTTCTGTTTATTAACACCTAGTCCCTCTAAGACCCCTCCAGCCACTTTAGACTCGCTAGATGTTTTTGGGATTTGTTCGGTTAAATGAGCTTTATTTAGAACCACTTCTTGAAGAAGCGTGTCTTTCTCTATTAATGCTCTTTGAGTTGTGACTAAATTATCTTTCATCTGCGCCAATTCATTCTTTTTTTCTACTAGTATATTTTCTAAATCTTTTTTCTCCAAATCTAGATAAATATTTTCAGTAGATAGTTCTGCGTTTTTTACTTTTAATTTACGCTTAAGAGATTTTATTTCTGATAACTCCTCTTGAGCTAAAGAAACATTCTGCTCTAATTCTTCTGCTCTAGATTGGAGAGCCTGTATCTCTTCTTTCATCTTGGATTGGAGGGCTTGCATCTCTTCTGATTTTATAGAGAATTTGCTTTCGGCATTTGCAAAAAAAATATCCTTGCGAGTAATCTGAAGCTTAAGATCATTTATTTCTAAATACAATTGTCTTATCTCATCTCCGAGCTTAGAATCATTTATTTCTGATCGTAATCATGCTATCTCTTCTCCAAGTTGGTGCACCCGATTGGAAAGTTTCTTATTTTCTTTTTTGGATTTATTAAGGTCATCCTGTATACACTTATTTTTTTTTTTGATTGATTTAAAGAATTCTGCATATACTTATTTTCTCTATCTAAGACATCGTATTTATTTGCAAACTGACTCCCCAATATATAGCAACTTCACGATCTTTTTTCACACAAAAAAGTTGTTCTTCAAGCTCTGTTTGGCTGAGAGGGTATTGATTAGCTGAAGAATTTCCAAGTTTATTACCATTATCCAGATCTTTTAAGGTATGGATTTGGGACATTTTATTAGTATTTTTTTTTTGGAAAAAAAAAATCACATGTTTTTGGACTTGAAAGTGAGATATTTTAGGTAAAAAGCATTGAACTATCTATTAATGCCTATTGATACATATTGGTGAGTATTAAAATATATTGATATTTATTGAAGGGTATTAATATATATTGATGTGTACTGAAAAATATTGATATATATTGGAGAGTATCGACTTATATTGAAGAGCATTGATATATACATATTGATACATATCAATATTTATTAAAAAAACATTATTTTTTTTTCCTAGTATGTAAAATCTAGTAAAGATGGTCACCCGTCTCCATGATATATTTTATAATACTAAGGCAACCTTGTTATCAAAAGCCGATATTAAAGAAATTAGAGAATCAAGAGGTAGGATACCCAATGCATCAAAAATAATGGCTAAAAAATTTTATATTGGCCCTAAATGTATTTATAAAATATGAGACTATAAAGAACGCCTTCAGCAAGGGGTTACTTCATCTCAGTCTGTTTTAGAGGAGAATTTCCAAATTTATAAGAAGAAACAGATTCCTGAAGCAGTACCAGAAGAAGTATCTACACCCCTTCTATCTACAGAGATTCCAAAAAAGAATAGTCAAAAAGGGAAGGTTAAAATAGATGAGAAGCTGATTACTAAAGCAACCAGTATGGTGAAAAAAAATAACAAAAATAATATGGCCTCTTCCTCTGACAATTCGTCTGATACATCCAGAGAAGATAGGTTAGAATCTCTTCTTGAAAACTTAGTCAAACATGGTGAAAAGCTTAAAAGCTTAACAGTTGATACTTCTGATATCTCTTCTATATAAGGATTCATATGTGTCAGCAAGAAACTTTCCAGTACTTAAGGCCAAATAGAGCCACTTCTCAAGCTTTGTACAGTTTACACATTTTTTTTAAGTCTTTCTCACTACTTGGATTAGAGAAATCGGTAGATACTTGGGCCGAATCATATAAACCCTCTAGGATCTGCTCCTCTTTTGGCAGAACCTTAGCTTCTGGAGTCTTGCTAAATGTTGGGATAGTATAAGTCTTCCCATGTAACTTTATTCGGAATTGATTTTTATTCGGATCAAGAATACCTTGAACTTTTCGAATCCATGTTATATCTAAACATAACATTGGTTCGGGTTTACCATTATTAATATGAGCAAAATTTCCAGTAACTGTAATAATCTTACTATCCTTGTCCTTTATACTAATTGGCATATCTGTATACCATCCTAATGATTCGGATATATGTTTGGAATTACTCTTTATAGCAAAGTCAGAAGGTTTATCAGCTTTCTACCCCAGGGCATTAATTGTTGCATCATTCACTCCCCCAAATTCATTCGCACTATCTAAAAAAGAATTAGTGATCAATAGATCATTTATACTACAATGCAAGTATTGCAATGACAAAAACCACTCATCTAATTTTGATTCTTTCTCCTGAACTATATGAGACTGACACATTTTACGCATTGCTGGTAAAAGTTTTGGCAACAGCTCATCATACATTTTGGGCTAGCTGTATTCTGCTAGTATCTGTTTTTTTTTTCTAGTGAATAATACCCGATCTATTTATTATTTTCTTTATCATAACCACCATTATTGTCTTTCTCATTATCTGAAGCTGGAGGTGTATATTGGGACTGTGTAGATGGAAGTTGAGGATAATAACGTGTAAAATTTGATTTAGCTACAGGTTTTTTGGATTGATTATCGAGCATCATCCTCCCGAATTAAGATGTCATTTGACCGATTTCATCTACTTTCGATTCTATTCTATCTATTCTCATAGATTGGTTTTGTTGAGAGCAAAGTCTTTGAAAAGGGTTTATAGAATAATCTGAATCTAATTCATTCTTAGTTATTAAACCTATTTTATTTAAGAATTTAGATACATAATAATTTTGGAGATCTTCTTCTGATTGCAATAATGGTGGAAGACCTTTTGGCTGTCTAACCAGTTCGACAGTTTGTGGAGTTGGTGCTTGTGCTTTTTGAACAACTGTTTGCTAGGCTATCTGTGCTTGAAAATCAGCTTTCTGCTTTTCTAATAAAGACTGGAATTCAGTGTTTTGCTATGCTAATGCATCTTGATATGATTTTTGTATATCTGCCATCTGTTGAGAAGTTGAAATAGGTGAAGGGTCATATATTTCTCAAGATGCTTGTTGAGATACTAGCGGATCAGGTATTCTATCTCTTTTATGTCTAGCAATTCGTCATAACTCTATCTTATAAAGCTTTTTAACTAATTCATCTAATAGCAAATGTTTACCAATATCCTCAGCTTTTTCAAGCTATAGAATAGGAAAGGCATCCAAGAACTTATTATGTAATTCTTCGGGCCTATAGTTAGCTTGTCTATCTATTCGTAACAATTTTCTATATAATTCATCTATAGTCATATTTCCTTTTCTAATTGTTCCATATTGCAAA